CCAGTGACCTTGAAAGTGGGTCAAGGTCATTTATTTGAACAAACTTGGTAGCCCTTCATCCCAGCATGCTACAGGCCTAATATCAGTACCCTGGGCCATTTGGTTATTGAGAAGAAGTTGTTTGAAGATTTTAAAGACAACTGACACCAGTGACCTTGAAAGTTGGTCAAGGTCATTTATTTGAACAAACTTGGTAGCCCTTCATCCCAGCATGCTACAGGCCCAATATCAGTACCCTGGGCCTTTTGGTTATTGAGAAAAAGTTGTTTGAAGATTTTTACATATTTGACCCCTGTGACCTTGAAAGTGGGTCAAGGTCATTTATTTGAAAAAATTGGTAGCCCTTGATCCCAGCATGCTACTTGCCAAATATCATCATCCTAGGCCTTTTGGTTATTGAGAAGAAGTAATTTAAAGCAAAAAGTTGACGCCGGACGGATGCCGGACGACGACGGATGCCGCACCATAACATAAGCTCACTTGCCCTTCGGGCAGGTGAGCTAACAATGGAATTTTGTTTCTATTATGGACCAATAGATACTATCATGACTAGATTTAGAATACAATCCCTTGAAATAATATGCACTAACATATGTCTATAATCAATTTGCATGTATTTTCAGAAAGTTCATTAAACCATTCAAAGCAATATGTATGAGGATAATCAAAACATATTGCTATTCATGATTCGGTCATTCATGCATTCTATCAGCTGAATGCCCAAATCATCATTCAACTCTGCATTAAAAAAAAATGAAACAAAACCAAAATAAACTACCTTTTTATCTTTTTCACTTTATCTGCAGAGTCTTTAGAAAAAAATGTATGTAAAACCTATTCAACAATGAACTTTGAAAAACATCCTTATGCATTGCACTATATCATTACTGTCACAGTTATCAAAACATTACTAGGAGTACATCTGTTTATAAGGACTGTATTCCGTCTGCGTATTGCAGAGTTATCTGCTCTTGGGAGCAGGGATTGATCGTTACGTCACTTGTTTGTGAGAGTAACGTCATCAGTTTTTGAGAAAACGACGAAATTTTCTCACACAAATCAATGACGTAACAATCAATACCTGCTCCCAAGAGAAGATAACTCTGCAATACGCAAAAACGGAATTTGTGTTGTTGTTCGGTTATATGTGGTGTTTGTAACAGGTGTCACAAGAGAAGACAATGCATATTGTTTTTCATCTCGCCATTCTTAAAGACAAATATGTGGTTGGAATGGTTCACTGACATGCTAACCACTACTTTTCTATGTAATTCAAAGTGAACTGGATACAAACATACTATGGTAATGATCTGGAATCATGAAGCAATCTAGACATATCAGATTTGAATTTTAAGTGTCAGAATTTCACACCTTCAGTTTTTTTGGGAAGGGGGTTGTAATTTTTCTCATTTTGGAAGACAAAGTTCTGATAGACTAATATCTTTTACAACTTCTTACTAGATTTTTTTTTTAATTTGATTTTCCAGGTACCTGTTTAAAGCTGAATAGCAGTAAGAAATTACACATATCAAATAAAGTTCTTTTTTTTCTCAAAGTAACAGCATGTCAGTATTGCTAGCACTGTTTGGCACGTTTACGCCTAGCATGGTATTCGTGAATGTACTGTACCATCACTAATGATATTCAAATTTAGCTCTATAGGTAAGAAAATGGATATCTATTATGATTGCAATTGTGTAGCTAAATTTTAAGGATCTCTGTACCACTGCCAAAAACTTCAACAAATTATTGGAAACTGTTTTTTTCTGGAATGACTCTTGCTTGAAAAAAAAAGCATACCTTATGGAAATTTTATGAAAATAATAAAGATGAAATAAACAATATAAAAATGTATATTAAACAACAACAGGGGTTCTTAAATACATTATTTTTCGAAGAGTGACAGATTGTCTTAATTTAACTACATGTTATGAAGACATTTTTCAAAGGGGTGCAAAGAGTTACATTTTATATTAATGGGTATATATATATTTACACTGTAAACCAATTTATCATAGATATTCAGTGTAATCATGTCACCTTGCTGGACTGCCAGGTCCAATTCTGCTTCTAGCTGCTTCCTACCTACTGTGCTAGGAATATCAAGTTTCTCTTTAGCTCTGTGGCAGATTTTGATTATACATAAGACTCACAGTCAGATTTTGATTATACATAGAATCATGGTCACCTTCTAGCTTCACACTAGAGAGAATTTCTTTTCAGCTAAGGACCGGAGTAGAGCATCCAACTAGGAATTCTGGGGTTGCAAGTTTGATCCCCGGTAGAATCACACTACTCTCATCTCTCTTTCCTGTAACAGCTCATTAAGTAGAGACTAGAGCATGGTTACACTCATTTTCGCTCTCTCAACCCCTGAAATATTTCATAGCAAAATTGAAACTGTTTGATTGGTCTTGAGTAAATAAAACTGACCAATCGCTATACCTGTCCTTTGAAGATTACAATTATTACAGTTACTTGACTGCAAGATTCATTTGATGGACAGGCACTAGCCTCTTCTTGTCTCATCAACAAGATGGCACACACTGAGCATTCAATTTTGCGATGAAACATTCCAGGTATACGGGGTGCGTAAATGAGCAAAACTTCTGGAGTGTCGAGGACGAGACTGGAGTAACACGATAGTAAACCAGAGGACCTGGCAATTTTGACAAGTAGTTTTAAATATCACTTATCTTTTTATATCTACATAGTCACTTGAAAGTGTAATATGTCACAAAAATTCTTGGAGAAGGCAAAACTGATGATGTTCTTTGATATTCCCAACCTTAAGGATGCACTCTTCTGAGGTTTCAATCACGTTCAAGTCTCGTTTTGATCTGGTGTAATGTGTTTTTGTAATTTTTAACAAATAAAGTTTATTAGCAAACATGCATCTGAAAAATATGTCCAAAAACTATATGCCTGTAGTTTGTAGAACTATTGTTACAAGAATTTAAATAAATTACCAATTTGGCGGCCATTTTAAAAATGTGTACTTGTGCTTCAAAAAAGGCCAACATTTTTTTGACAAGATTGATCACTTAAATTTTCATCGTGTCACCATTTTTAATTGTAGCACTCAATTTTTCACTCACTGGTTCAATTTTGCTGTACAACATTATAATGTTTAATATGATAAAATTAATATGCAATGAACTGGAAAATCATACATTATTGATAAAAAAAAAAATACATATTAAGTGTAACTGAAGCACTTTTGATTTTTACCCCGAAAAAGGTAAAAAATAACACAAATGATAATGGGACAAAAAAAGAAGCACAGGGACCCCCAATTTTTGTGGATGTTTTAGAAAGATAAACACATTTTCTTTTAATTCATTAAATATTAAAAAATGTTTAATAGCAGAACGTTTTATATCAAGCCTTAATCTGCAAAAAATAGTAAAAAGAGTTTTTTCATTAAAAAATAGGGGGTATGGGGGTAAAATCGGCTTTCTGAATTAAAAAAAATAAGATGAAGAAATTTTACTTCCATAATTTAAAAGAAAATAATACTTTCATCAATTCTACAAACATTCATCCATTTCTGATGACACACTTAGAAGCAATTGTATGAATTTGTTCTGCAAACCGTCAAATCCCAAACAATCACATGTTACATTGGTATCTTTGACCAGGCGAGGATTTAGTGGGGGGCACACCCGGCCATGGCCCCTCCCTTTTGACGGCGGACTGACCTTTTCCGGCCGGCCCGAAATGGTCTGATCGGCCGGGAATGGGAACAGATTAACATTTTAAAATATATCAAATAATGCACGGAGGTTGTATAAAAAAAATCTGAGGCTACGCCCCACACATCCCATGTATCTTGATCCTAAAGTGTGTTTTTTATTTTACCACCTCCGCAAAACCCCAAGTTGCAACTTGCAATGCTCTGCGATTGTATTATTGACCGCTCGTTATAGATGATCTGAAAATTAATACTTTTTATTGTAACCTTCCTAACTGCCCGGGCGATATTAATCATATCATTATACAAGAACGATAAAGGTTTTTTTTGGCTTACAATATTATGTATAATTGACTAAACATATCCATTCAATCATTTTTGTATTATATATATTGTTGGAACTGTTTAACTATCTTGTATGTACAACACAATATCTCATTGTGGTACTTATAGCTTTCCATCGTGTACGTACAAGAAAGTATCTTCACACAGCATACTATTGTGTACGTAGTAATAAGTTGAACGTACCAGAATGAGATGATATGCTGTATTTACAAGTATGATGATTTCAAATTAAATTTAAAGGTGACGCGTATGTGCCTCCAAAGTTGTACCATTTTAACCAGATAGCTTAGCAAATGTACCACTGTTGGTATTATGCATGCCCTTACATGAGTTAATCAGCGTGGACATTTCAGATATATCATTGTCTACACTAGTGAATTAGTCAACAATTATAAAACGCGAGACTATATAGCTAGTGGCCTTGGGTGTCGCAATGATTTGAACTTATCCGTTTGTTTAGCAACTTAGTGATGCCATGAGTAACTCATTAATTAAACAGCAACGATGTTATTGTGTTATTTGTTCTTTTGTAGAACAAACTATTACATGAAGTACTGTATGTACTGTAGGGACAATGTCTGAAGACTAGATATTGTGCGCCCCTACATTTATTTTTTGACAGTGGACCTCTCGTATCCTCCATGCGGGCGGGACGCCAAATTAGGTAATAATGAACAAGCCCCCTGTGGATTCATACAATTGTAATCACCAGGTTGCCCCTATAATAATAATACCATCTGACTTCTAAAACACGCTGTTGATAAGAGAATTTGAACCGAAACATTAATTTCTTTCCAGTACACAAAAAAAGTCTTTGGCCCATACTTGAAATATGTTTTTTTCTTCTTGTTAGTTAAACATAAAAAAAATCCTCAGAACACGGGAAATTGCTTCTGAGGCGTTCTAGAAAACACATTTTTTTTGGGGGGGAGGTCCCCCAAACCCCACTTACGGGAGGGGGAAGACACCCTCCCCCTGCTCGCGCTACGCACACCGTTGACTTTTGAGAAAAAATTCTCGGCCCCCCCCCCTTTTAGGAAATCCTGGATCCGCCCCTGTTGACCACGGACTTTAGATAACAATAATCTAATTCCGTGCTGTGCCCAATCATAGCACAGAAACGAACACACGGACATGTAGTTTTTTTTATGTATTTTCTAGTATGCCATTAACTCCTTTTTCCAAAAATTCATAAAGAAACAAAGTTTTGACTTCTCAGGTGTAAGCTTACATCCACATTTTAAAAACGTGTAATTTTACTAATTTAACATGTTTTAGTTTCAATATATTAATGACTATGTCGGAGTTTATTTATTTTTCATCTGTTTTTGTTCAGATGTTGCATAGGTATATCGGGGCTAAAGATGCTCACGCCTATAGATACAACTCTTGACAAAAATAGCTTTACCCGTATCTTCATGAAAGTGCAACCGGAAGTAGATTACCAGAAAGCAGTTTACGACATACGGCATCTTTATTTTCCAAATAAATTCTAGCTGATACAGAAACAGATTTTCACATTGAATATCGATATGGAAAATGTTAAATGTACTTACTAAGAAATAGGTCTTTATTATATTTATATAAATAATTGTGTACGTTACTATGTCGTTATTGGAGACGATTGTTGTCCACTTTACGACACTCATGTTCCAAGGAGATCGATTGTTGGGAGACAGAAGTCGAAGGCAGAATTTTCTGGAAGACCAGCGGTTTTTACGAAAAAAGTATGCGTACATTACTTAATATTGATTACATAGACTATTTTATATATATGTATACAGTTGTATTATGTAATGTTTTAACGTAAGTACCAGAATTGACAGCAGACGTCATTATGTGATGGAAAACCCAACTGACCTGTCCATCTGCAGCAGCCAAAACTGGCGTTGGACTTTGGCGATATCATTATGCAACTACTGTACAATGTAAAACAGACATTATTTTACAGATTGCTCGCATAATATCATTATATAAAAAAATTCCTTCAGATAAAATATTGCATCATAATTTGTCCTTACTTCGGTACATTAAAATGTACCAAAATAAGGACAAATTCAGATATTATCATGTATGTAGAGCTCAATTTGATTTGCTTCAGGGTTCAACATTTCTTGCTAATGAATGGAAGCATTTAAAAAATGTGCAGATTTTACAATATCAACTTTCGTATTGCAATTAATGTTTAATGCCAGTAATGGAATATCTTGTCATTGTTTTGCTAGAGAACAGTTTGCATTTATAATGTACACTGTTGATGTTAATTAACTGATATTGAATAAAATTATCTTGTAGATTAGGTATCCTATATCATTCAATTGAAATACGTTTTATTCTTTACTCTGGTGTACAAAAACTATGTAATAACTGTTTCTCTGTTTAAAGGAATGTCAGCATATAGAAAGTGAAAGTAGAATTGATACAACTACTACTGTAGTACACAATAAGAACCGATTAGTTTTTAAAAACTGCTTTTTAAATCATCAATATGTTTATTTTTTTTTTAAATCATGGAAATAAGAAAAGAAGGTTATACCTTAAAGCCTGATTAACATGGATTTTTTTTAACAAAAAATGAGTTGATAAATACAATGTATATATAAATTATAATATATGCAAGTCAAAGATGGCCAAGTTATGGCAGTGGGGAAACTATAAGTGTTGTGTTAATTGTCTATGTAATGATATATTTGATATGAAGTGTTTTGGCAAGTTTTCCCATGGTAATTTATATTTCTGTTCAACCGCCTTTTATTAAATTTACCAACCCATACTGTTTTTTATTTAAGCAAATAGCACAAAGAACTATCTTAATTGAATGTTTTCCAATCAGTTCTTAATTATTTACTGTTTAAAGTATTATCATTTGTGAAAAGTTGACTGAAAGTTTAGAAACTGCACAGAAAGATGAATAGATATTAAATACATATTTTATAAATGGATTGAAATACACATTTCTTTTGACATTCATGATGCCATTATTGTTGTTTAACAATTGATGAGTTCCCTGATAACCTGGCTTCTTTGAGGCCTAGCTATTGTCTCTTATAGGGAATGAAGGGCTAATTCTTGTTCACTTGCAAAAATGCAAATGATTTGATAAATAGTGTGACAGTGTTCTAAGCAGGTATCTGGAGGTTATTAACTTATAGCATTTAAGAAATATCTCATTTTGTATAAATAAAATGCACATTCAGTCAAAGAGGTGCAGAAGCTTTGGAATTTGGAAAACTTTACAATCAATTAACCCTTTTGCTTTGATGGCCATAAAATCAGCTTGATAGCCTGCAATATCTCAAAAGAGTTACTCCCCTTGACATTTTAAGTGTTCAATAAGCTATTTATACAAATATTTTGTTAAATTCTCCACCAAAAATATCATTTAAGCTGGCAATTATAGAAAGTTCAGAAGCGAATTAACTGTTAAATATGTGCAAATATGGATCAGGGACTCTTGTATGCTTGCTTATACTATTATTTTTGGAAGACAGGAAAAGGACACCTAAAAATAAGTAAAAAGTATTCAGCCTTTGACAATCTTTACACAAACTACAAGTGCTGGTTTTTACATCATTATGATTGGTAAAACTTGGTGGGCTGATTACGTAATGATATTTCCTAAACTATTGAAAATCAGAACTAAAATGTAAAGATATATAGCTGTAGGACACAAAAGTTTGAAAAACTTGGCCATGCCAGTGTTTTGTAGTTGTGGTTTGTACTGTCTGCTTTGTAATCAAAAGCAGATAGATCGATCAACAAGTACACAGTTATCTTCAAAGATACTTTTAAAACAAATTATGAGTTGTAACCTTGATACTATGTATAATAAGTACAATTTTTATTGTGTGCAGTGTTGAATTTGTAATATCTGTGGTATGTTATTATCAAAGGTGTTCACTATCCTGTTTAAATCGAATTCACTGATTCATTTGCTGCTGAAAAGCACTGTTACATCAATTGATAATCATACTGCATTATATGAACTTTAGCAAGTGTATTTTAAAACATTCACCCCTGAAATTTCATAATAAACTATTCCAACTTTTGAATTGGAAGAGTTCAAATGTGTCTTCAGCTAAGGGTCAATGAGTTAAACTTGTCCAAAAATGCTAAACATCACTTGTGTTCTTGTTCTATTGCAGTGTCAAAGTCTGAAACAGAAGCAGTTTCATTGCCTCAGGAGGTTCATAAAACACCTGAGTCAACATGTGCAGAGGGTCAGGCTGATCAATATATGGAGCCGCAGGCAACAGCTCTTACCAATGGTTTTGATACAAACACTTCTAGTGAAAGTGAAGCAAAATCCAGATGCCAGGCATCTGATGATCATGCAAAGTCCAAATGTGATATAGACAGTGAGTTAACACAGAAAGAATTAGGTGCAAAAGGTGATGATGTATCTGCACACAAAGACAATGTTTCTTTCGAACCAGATAGTGCCCAGGCGGTACCTACCTCTGGAGAGTCTCAATCTGCTCACATTGCTAACACATCTGAAGCACACAGATCAGGAGAGGCTACAGCAGCAGCAGCAGCTGCACAGGCAGGAAGCACCCCCAACACACAGGGCTCTGAGGAAGCATCAGCTAGCCCGTCCGTCACACAAGAATCTGAGGAAGCATCTGCAAGCATATCAGACACAAAAGGATCTGAAGAAGCATCTGCAAGCATATCCGACACACAAGGCTCTGAAAAAGCATCAGCAAGCACATCTGACACACAAGGCCATGAGGTAGCATCAGCAAGCACATCCAACACAACTGATGCCCAGAACGATGCAGCCTCTGTGAGCAAAGAAGTGGAAGAGGAAAAGAAAGTTGACATCTTCGGAAATGGACTCCTTGTAAAGAGTGTGAGTTATCAATTAGATATCCACTGATCAGTTTGTGCATCTTTATTACACATATTTTACGACTTCAAAATGTATGCATGGTATATATTAACGTGGGTAACGAACCAACTACAAGTGTTTAATACATATTTGTCAGGTACATGTTCATATATATACAAGCAAGGAACCTGGAGCAGGGTTCCAATGAAAATATGTATTTATGGCCATAACAGTGATCAATCTCCAATTAGTTTATATGGTTCATTGTCCACTACTGTATGGTTACAAGATATGGGCCTCACCATGTTAAGTTTCAGTATTTTCATAAATTCTATGGGTCTAATCAAAATTCTATGGACTCTGGACTCACATTTAGTAATTATAAAGAGAGTAGACTTCAACAGCAGACAGTAAGTTACACTAGCCCCAAGCAATGATTTGCTTTATACAGCAACGTTTGCTTCGTTTGCAGGTTATTCGCAAAGGTAATGGTGACGAACGACCAAGTGATGGCGACACATGTACCATCAACATCGATGTCAAACTGGCCGATGGCAAACTTGTAGATCATATGGAAAACTTCAGCTTCTTCCTTGGAGAACATGAAGTTATGCTGGGTAAGATATTGGAAACACTTTGATTATATACCAGTGATTTATCTACCTCTTTTAATTTTCCACATGGCCCTTTGCCGTGTGAGTTTTAGAAACCATCATATATACCCAAAACAAATAGTAGCACTAATTTGCATGGGACTAATTTCATGTCTTACATTATCTAGTTTGTATACATGTATATATGACAAACAAAAGCAATTGTACTTTGTCTGTAAACATATATAATATTGAGCTCCTATGGTCTGTTTAAATGTGTGACCTAATTAAGTTAAAACCAATGTAAATTTATGTGCAGAATAGCAAGTTTTTAAAGCTTTCCTTCACACTCTTTTCTTGCAGCCCTTGATGTTGGAGTCAAATTCATGTACATCGGTGAGATCAGTGTCTTTCACACTGATGCCAAATATGCATACGGAGCAAGAGGAAGGTAAGACGGTTAAAAGCAAACAACTGTGTTCAATGCCATCAAAACTGTTCAATGAACTTGACAGGGTAACAGGGAAAAATTCAAATTCCAATATATCACCATTTTTCTGCTTCATGTTTAATGCTAAAGTGTGTTTGAGAATTTGTAAGTTTCAGTACTTATTTGATAAACAGTGATGCTAAAAAAATATGTTTTAAGTATTTTAAAGATATATGTCACATGTCCCTCATGTGTTTTCTCTGATTTAAAGAGTTTCTTGCATTTTATTATAATCTTATCAATGCCGTTGAAAATAAAGCAAGTCATATTGTTTATATCAAGCTTTGTGATTGATTTTCAGGACCCCAGATATCCCAGCCGATGCTTCCTTGGTTTTAACCGTAGAACTTCTTCGTGTGTACCCAGCAGTGGACCGTCAGAAACTCTCAGTAGACCAACGCCTGAGCTTGGGGTATGTTCATTTTTAGCTTTCACCAAAAACCCATCAAATTAGTTGAATCACTTTTTTTGGTGAAGAAAAGAGATGACCTAAATAATAATAATAATATATCATAGTGTCAATCATTAATACACTTTATTTCATCTTGCATATTTAATAATTGAGTTGCAGTTGTTGAGGTATCGCAGTTCTTGAAAATTATCGGTTTTATCAGTTTGGTCGATACAAAATTTCTAAGTCCAACAAAAATAACCCATATGTCTGTCCAGATGTCCCGACAGTAAAACCTTGGCTCTGATTGGTCAGTTAAATTTATAAGCCAATCAGAGCTGAGGTCACAGAAGTTCGAGAAAATGTCAGGCTCAGTTCAGATTTTGTGATGTTTCACTGGAGTCTACCGAAAATAATACTGCATGATATTTGGCAAATCATACATTAAATTAAAGAAAAAACACTTTCCTGTCGATCTAGACCTCTCCTGGCGTCTAACTACGAACGGTTATGACAAAATCAAATGTTTTATGGAATTGGGTCATTTTACTAGTGGGACAGAGTTAGCAACCTTGATTATATTGTAGGTGTATTGACAGACGAGGCTAGTACCTGTGCTGAGGCAAATATGACGCAAGGTTCAAGCAAAACAAATCTCTTCATTGCCGGTTCCAAAAATTAGAAAGCAAGCGTAATATCTGATCACGTAATATCACACATTCATCTTGCAGCAGTACCAATAAGAGAGAGTGATACTTTCAGAAATGTTGAAAGATATCTTGAAGTTGAATATGAAATTGAATATGAATTAAATTGATTCCTAAAAATAAATCAAAATTCAGCGAATACATGAAATGTACAACAGCAAATGCCTTTAATTCCATAACCATGCATACATTTTGAAAAGAAACAGAACTGACGACTTTTCCCAATCCTGAAAAAAAATTGAGCTGACAAAAGTTTGTTCAGGCTGACAAAAGCTGAATCAATGTCAGCCCAAATGACCCTGTGAAAAAAAAATCAAGAGCTCTCAGGTATTGGTTATTGAGTACATACAAGCCCAGTTATATGCCAAGTGTTGCAGACAGGCACATAAATATATCAACTCTGTTAAAGTAAGATATGCCCTGTACAGAAGACAGGCAGGCATACATACCTTGTGTTATAATTATCAATATGCCCAGTATGTCATGCGGGCATGTATTCAATATGTTGTTAGGTAGGTATGCCAGGTATGGTTGGAAGGCAGGTAAATGTTGATGCATCCCATATACACTGTACTGATATTTTTGATGTGTTACAGTTGCTAAATAAAGTTTGTTCTTTGTTTTTGATTTGATAGAGAGAAGAAGCGAGTGCGAGGGAATCAACTGTACTCTTGGAAAGACTATCCAACAGCAATTGAAGTCTACAGTCGGTATGTTAAATTTTCGCCTTTTTTCACTCCTAGTGATGTTAACCGATTTATTTTAGATAGGATGATCTGAGTGCAGATATCATAGGCCGGTTGTCTTAACAAAAACTTTCCATAAATCAAAATGTACAGCTAGTTTAATTTAGAAATTACGTAATTTTGTGGAATAAAAAAAAGTGTGAATTCACCATTATATTTAAAAAAACAACGTATGTATATCTGAAGGTCTGAAGAAGCTTAGAAAATATAAACCAAATCTAGTTAATTGTCAATTGTATGCATATATCTAATATGTTGTAGAGCACTTCATATCTTGGACCCCCAATCCGGATCTTTCACAGAGTCACCAGAGAAACTACAAGAGTTCCTGGACTGCCGCATCAAATGCTATAACAACATGTGCATATGTCAGATGATGGTAAGAGGTTTCACCTCAAATAAGTCCAAAGGTGTAAATTTGAAAGATACTGAATATCTTGTAATCTGTGTCTGCTTAAAGTATTGAAATTTGTTTAGTCTCAAATTATTCATAACATCTCAGGGTGTTCAAAGTAATGTGATACTGGTTGCAGTTCTTTGTCTTACTTCCATATACCCATGCTAATGTCAGTTGTATTCATACCCAACATACTAGCAATACTACAGACTGAATATCTTGTAAGCTGTGTCTGCTTTAAGTATTGAAATTTCTTCAGTCTTAAATTATTCCTAACATTTTAGGGTGTTGAAAGCAATGCAGCACCTTCGTCAACTTCTATATATCAATGCCAATGTCAGTTATACCTATACCCAACATACTACGGCAGATCATAATGCTAGTGACTTTTCTCTTATGCCACTTACTTTATTAATTGAACCTGTTGCGTTTAAACGAAGCAATATCCTGTTTATGCACATTTTCTTCTAAAGAATGCCCCTAAATATTGCATCAGAGTTAAATGAGATAGAAACCTAGCACAGGGTGTTTTAGGGTGAAAGTTACAGAACATTTTATATCACCCCAGTTTTGCCCTAAAGAGGGATAACGATGATGAAGCATTAACTCAATTCCATTACACATTGACAGCTCGGCCATCACGAAGCAGCCATTAAATCAGCAAATGAAGTGTTAAGAGTACAGTCTGACAACTGGAAAGCTCTCAGCCGTCTCGGCAAGGTAAGGCGTTTTTTCATCTCCCGATCAGGTTTTCCTATAGACATGCCTGGACAGTTCAAAAGGCAACAATTTATTATATCCCTCATAAGAAATTCTAACAATGTACAGCCCCCTTTACAAGATAAAGATTAATTCCAGCGTTTTTTCCTGTAACAATTATGGGATTCTTCCCTCTTGATGCATTGCATAAATAGATTCGGTTTTGCTAGACATAATTTCATTAGCCAGTCTATTTATTATAAAGCCACATATTAGTGCTTTGAGCCTGCATCCGCCACGGTAATGTCATGATTCATGGCAACTTTTCCTCCCATCAGAAACAGGAATAATTTATTTTAAGAGAAACATATATGATATATAATATGGAGTCACGTAAGACAAACATGATAAACAACCACACTCATTGGAGAACCTTTATGTCTATGTGCAGATGAAGAATTTGAAATCTAATGTGTACATCTTTAATTGACTAGTTTGGTTATATTTTCAGGCTCTTGGTGAATCTGGTGACACAAAAAAAGCCATAGAAGTTTTGAGGAGGTGTGAAAAACTAAATCAGAATGACAAGGTACAATTAAATTTTAAGACATGTTTGAACATGGAATCAAGTGTTACATACATATCGGGAAGTAAAATTAAAAATGTAAATGACATATTTTTAGTTCCTCACTGTCCATAGCTACACTGAGATTACGCAAGTTTCACAACAATGTGATGTTCATTGCATTTGATACCAGGATTTATCACATGACTATCAATTTATGCGGTGAATGCATCTATGACATAGTTTTGTGTATTACCTCCTGTAACCGCACCTGTAGTGATGTCAGTGTTACTGTTAAGACACTGTAAGTTCAACATGGTGATAATGATGTGTTTGTATATATTCATGGTTTCTATGATTAAAAGGATTTTGGTATGAATTTATTTCCAATTTACTCGAGATTTATGCAATTTATCCAAAATAAACATTTATAGTTAGACGGATACAAGTTAATGAACACTTTTCATAAAACTCATGTGAGACACTACATTTATCATATGAGAAGGGCGGGAGACAACTTTTGAAACCATGTTAAATCATCAAAATTTGAAAAACAAGAAATTATGTTACATCTGGATCAACACTATAGCCTGAACATTACTTCTTAATTGATTTCTAGAAATTCCTTTACAATTTATTTTGTAAAAGACAACAACGTAATCTGTATTGTCATTCTCGCACTTCAGAAATTCCAGTCACAGAACCAAGCACTGATGCAAACATACATAAAGAGATCTGTCAAGGAATCAGAAAAGGAGAAGAAAATGTACAAGAAGATGTTTGGGCTTGAAAAACCTGCCACACCCATATTAGAGAAGAAATCCATATCTGTAAGTGTTTTCCTGTAACAGACTTACTACATTTATTATATTACATTAAGAAAATAATGAAAACATTCAAGAGTAAAATTTAGCAAAAGGTATGTCATCCTACTCTGATATAATTGTTAAAATCTGAGTTTAAAGGTCACCCGCAATGAAACAAAAAACCTTGGGAAAATATTCATTGTGTCTGTTTTGATCATCACAAAACAATTTTTGTGTATTTTATTTAGTCACTTGGGAGTAATACTTCAGGATTTATCTCCCCTTAAAATACCAATTTTGTTATATAACTTTTCATTGCATTTAACCCTTTCACCACTGCAGACCGTAATGGATTCATCCAGATTAATGCATGCTAAAGTCTCATAAAGTTACATAGGGGTGAAAGGGTTTAACAAAGTCAATTCAGGGAAGTTAGTACAACTTGTTCAAATTAAATGCATGACTACATTTCAAAGGGAGTGCATGAAACAAAACAATGTAAAAAGAACAACGTATTTTAATGGTGCCCTTTATTGAGTCTACTTTTGCCTTTTTCAGGTTTTTGCTCCATCATGGAAGTGGGCTCTTGGAGGTGTTGGCATGGCCTTGGTAGCAGTGGGAGTAACAGCAGCTTTCAAATATTTCCAGCACTAACTACACAGACCGAGATCTAGGGGGGAAGGGATCATACAGGCTTTTTAATTCCATTTCCATATAATTTTTCGTTATGAAGATAATCTTTATATTCAGTTTCAGTATAATATTCAGGTTGGTTTAAGGTTGAATTGAAGGTTGGGGTATTTACACATTTAAGTTAGTGCTGTTCCGGGCCCCTTCTCGATTAAGCTATGATTGTGTATTTAATTCTTTATTTTATGTTTTTCGTTTTGGTTACTTTAAATGAATTACTGTTCATGTCATATTCAAAATTCAATAACTTATAAACATCAAAGCAAAAATGGTTTTAAATTAGTTTGTGCCCAAGATTTAATATTTAAAGGACATGAACTTTATTTAGTAATTTTTGATATTTTCGGGAAAAAAATCAATATTTTCCCTTTTGATTTCAATTAAATTTTGGCTCCAGAGAAAATAAATTATTGACAAAATTGTATTAATTTTAATCTTATGGTTGGAGGAAATGCCTAACAAGTGCAGAGGGAGAGAGTATTTGCAGGAGGGAGTAGAATCGTACTATATTCAGGTCTACCTTTATTGGCATTTTCATAGTATCCAGGGAGAGAAGGAAGTGACTGCGATACGAGATGACTCACTAGGGAATTTACAAGCTATTCAAGGAAGTCGTTCGTATGTACTCTGGTGGTTATACACATTGAGGGGTTCCTTATAAATGAAATGGATGTGGTTTGCAAAATGACGCGATGGGCGTGATCTGGAAAAACCGTATCTGGTGAAGCTATATGCTGATGGCGTGATTTGCGATGTGTTTGCACGCCTGTCATGAAAATAAGTTATCAGATTATTTGTTGTCCTTTAAAATCCAAAATGGCTGGTCTTGTAATCATTTTGAAAGTCATGCTTCTGCTTTTATCATCAAGACTTTCAGGTACGGTACTTTTGTGGGTACTTTATACTGCATTATATACCAGATCAATATGATGTGTTAGGAATTTCAAGGTGCGGCGGGACTTTTTTTACACAGATAGATGTGTCGAGAATGTTACCACTATATCTTTGATTGACTTGATACTAATTGAAAGGTTACTATGCGTTGTGTTGTGTGTCTACGTTGCACTGTGCATTTAGGTTTTGGTGATAAACAGCAGACTCCATTTTCAAAATATTTCAGGGATGGTCACTTTGGATCTTAGAGGCTGATGAATTACCAGTTTGATAACTTATTTTCATGGTGGGAACCAGCACATGTCAAATTATGTATTCGGTTCATAATTTCACTGGCTGTGGTTAGTTTTTCGGGGATCCTTTGTGGTATGTTGCAAAACATGGAACGTCTCAGTTATGGGGAAAATATTAAGGTGTGCAATAGTTCCATAGTACATAAAAGTGAATTCCTTGAAGATTTGTGTAAATGACCTGCCGAGTCTGACTGGACGCAGACATTTCCACGCTCGTACCAGGTGCATTATCGAACAACTACCTGTTTGTTCGGTGACTTCACTGTCTGAGGAGAGAGATCACTACAGCATCGTCTTTCTCAGATAGCAGGTCTGTCGAATGAATATGTGAAATGAATATTAAGTACATTGGTAATCTACCATTTTTACCCTGACTGCAAGTATTTAATCCCATCCAAAAACCATTAGTGGCACACTTTTAATCATCTGGTGTATTTAGACCAACTTCATGGGGTTTTTTTATTTGTAGATACACATCATTGACCTTATCAAGAAGGTACCCTTTTTTTCAGTAAATTATATCCTTGATTTTCCAGACCAAATTTTACTATGAAGGATAGAATAATTTGTTGTGAATTGTTAAGAAAATATTTGGTCAGCTGTCCTTTCAAAAGTAGAAGAGTATATTTTCCATCAAATGTCTTTCATAGGTAAAAGTGCTATTGAATTTTTAATTTACAACCTTCATTGTGTCTTTAGCCATTCAGAATGAAATTTACCATCAAAATATCTTTCGTATTCATGATCATTCTTCAAATTCTAGAAGAAGAGAAATATGTTTCAATATTTTCATGAAATATTTGGTGTAAATCTAGTCAAGTTAAAGCTATCTGCTATCTGCTATACAATTTTTTCTATCAACAGCTAGGGATGTTATTTTGGTGATTTAATTAAGGAATGGTACCATGTTGATCAAAGTGTACCTTCAGAATTTTATGTAAGCTCAGAGAAGAATCATGATTAAAGGAGGGATGGAAACCTCAAGCTTACATTTGTATTGATGTTTTATGTGTGTGCTTTCAATTGTGCCAAAATCAAAAAGGAAGACTATTTAGATAGAAATGTTGATGTAGGTGAAATGCTTTTGGAGATTTCTCCCATGTGATGGGTACAGATGTGTTGTGTTTTTTTCTAAGGTCATTTGTAACATGTTACCTACAGATCATGGAACCGGATTTTTGTCATTGTGTAAAGGCACATTTATTCTATGAATCAAGTCATTTACTCCAGTTCAAGTAGACATATCATATTGAAAGTGTTGCAAATGTATGCCAAGTGCTGTGTGCTCTCTGTAAATGTATACCAAGAGCTGTGTGCTCTCTGTAAATATAAGGAAGATTTTATGACTGAAGATGCGAATTGGTCTAGGTTATTTTTGTGCACACCCAAACATGTCAAGAGTAAGTTCAGCAAAAAATATCTAGATGTTTTTTTTTCTAATTTTGAACACACTGCAATACATGTTAATTGATGTATCTCTCATATTATGTTCTTAAAAATTAAATTATCAAATCATGTTATACACAATGTTTTAAACATTTTGCACACCCATACCTGTCGAGAGTAAGTTCAGAAAATATTGTCTAAATGGTATTTGCTTTTTTTTTCTAATTGTGAACACATTGCAATACAGGTAATATGATGTATCCCTCATATTGTGTTCTATTAAATAATATTATACACACCATTTTAAACATTTTCGATACAGTAATGCATCACATTCCAATAAAGTTAATGTTTTATGTTTTATAATTGATATATTTCCGTGACTGTAACAGTACTTCTGGTATGTATACATAATTAGATGTTAATGAGATAGGAACAATTTCAACAAGTCCAAAAATATTTTTCACTGTTTGTTATGTGATAAAGAATATCTGTATATCTGTGATGTGATGTTCTTAAAGGAACAAAACTAAATATATATTATGTCTAGAAACCAATTCCTCTGTTGTTTTTTTAGCTTACCTGGTCTAAAGGACTGGTTAAGTTATGCCAAATTGCCATGCGCAGAATTAATTTGTCGGTCTGGTGTCTGATAACTTTTTCATTAAAACCGTTAATAGTTCAGTGGATTTTGACTAAATTTGGTTTGGAGCAAACTTGACCAAATGGAACTAAATTTTATAAGGGTGCAGGGCAGAGGGGCTGGGCCAAATATGGGAAATAGGTGCAAGTCTTTTTGGATCTTATTGTTCCATATGAATACTTTGTACATTATTTTTCGCCAAATTTGTTCTAGATTATCTGAGGCAAAAGCGGCTCAGATTTCTATAAATGGAAGGTGTGCCCCCAAGATAATAACAAAAAGGTTTGGGAAAATGTTAATCTGACTCCTGTAAAAGGTACCTAGATAATAATTTCAATATTAGTGGAAACATTAGAGATGAATGACTAAGTCAATCAGGCTTGTCACAACCGGACTCCTACCAAACTCCAACACAATTACAGACTTACACCAGACTAAGTGTCCCAGGTTTGTTTCCATCCCAATTCAAGAAACAGGTGACCTATATTCTTGATTTTGCTAGGAAAGTTTATAAAATCTGTGTTGCTCTGACTAGAAACTTCGAATGAAAGTCTTCAATTTTATCATAATTGAAACATTTTCAGAACAGAATAATCGGTTTTTAATATCGGTACTTGATTAGCATGATAAGATATTCACACTGTCCTTTAAACATAATCTAGGAAATGTTTGTAAAAGGAACCTATATTTATGCTACTGCTTGGATTGAAATGTAGGTAAATGAAAAGGCTAACGATGAACATTGAGATAAACGTACTTGTCTAATACTAATAGCCGTGCAGTGAAGCAGAAAATACTCGGGGTCAGCGTGACTTTCGTGTGAAATGTTCGTGTTGTGTTGCTCCGTATGTATCGATACATGCATATATCAAGTTGGATGACTATTGGAATTCTTATATTATAGTAATTAATGGGGCTAAACGCAAAGACATTGGTGAACATATATAGGTCACAGTGACTAGCATTTGATGATATATTTGCGTGTAACTCGGACATCAAGATATATCCGTCTATGAAGTTTGATCAATGTTAGAATTCTGGTATTAGAGTAAGGAGTGTAAACTGGAAGACCAACCAAAGTCAGCGAAGCAGAAAATATAGGCCGCAGTGACCTTTTTGTGATATTTTGATAAATTACTCCTCAAGATTTATTAATTTTGATAACTGAAGAACTTCTCAGCAATACATAAACAAAGGTATTTAGCGGGCGGACCGATGGAAATAATTCCTCAAATTTGTTGGAGACATGAAATTTAAATCTATTGCACATATTATCACGTATATAATCAGACCTTCCGCCACTTTCTTTTCATCCGTTACCGATCCTGAAACAGAATTATGAATTCATGCTTAGTACCACTTCGTTGACAGGAATGATTCATTGTACATCTTATAGATACCATCATAAGTTTGCGTTCAACAACTTTATATGTATGGCCTAATTGGTAACCGTCTAATTGCATGCGCTCCGCGCGCGTCGCTAGTAAAACTCTATTACCACGATATACCGCCGCAAATTTCAAAATACAGTATATAGTTGTTCCCTAAATCACATACGGAAAGTAGATGTAGTCGAAAAAATGCAAAGAAATTGAAGAAGGCAAGAAATTAAATAGCATAAAAAATAGGGGAGACGTGAAAATAGAGTAGGAAAACACAGAGTGGCGATACGATTGCCTTCTATTCGGTCACAATTAGAGCATGTTTGCAACATGTTCAACTGTCAATCGGGAACCGTCGGCACTTTCCGTAAACGAGAAAGTGCCGACGGTTCCCGATTAGGTCAACTGTACGAACAAAAGCTAATGAAATCCAATGTCAAGAACTTGTATATGATGAGAATGCGAAAGTTTTTGACTAACATCACATTAACTAATCACTGAAACATAAAAGGGAGTTCACTTAAAAAACTAAAGCACATTGCATTCAATCCGAGCGGAACAAGCGAAAGTGGTACCACGGGCAGTAACTATCTTTCCTTTGACGCAAATGCATACAGAACGTGAGAGTGGCCTAACCGAACAAATCTTTGAGTATTGTTCCAACTGGAGATTACCTATAGAGATTAAAATGGTGCTACCGGAATGTTAAACCAGCTACATTGACCACCAAATGCGGCAAAGGCGGAAGGCACATCAGTAATAGATATCCCTATCACAGGGACCTAAGAATTTGTTACAGCTCTATTTGGACCTGAACTAAAACTCGTAACATATCCTCATTGGGTGTCATTTTTTTCACCGAAAGTCGATCTAAACACATAGAACATATAAAATTACTCTGAACACCTTTGTTTATGTCAAAATATAGTTATAACAAATCCTCGGGTCCCTGTGATCCCTACGGCTACATCAACATCAAATGCATCACTCCCGATACATTATATTGTACTAAAGTCAAGCCTCTTTACAAATATCATTAAATAAAAGGGTTTAATGGAGTACCAAATGGTCGTCAAGCAGCCGTCGCTCCACAGCCATCTTGTTAACTAAAACTGGATCTTATCAAGGGTATTAAAAGATATTTCATCATCATATAGCCTACCGTACATTAAAGAGTTGGCGAATACGGGTACACACTGGTACAGGGGAAGCAACTCTTTGATACTCAACATATGTAAGGAAAACTCTTGGTTTTATGTCAGAGACGTATATATTGTAATATATGGCAATGCGTATACGTGTCTAGTCTTATAAGGTCATATAGGTCAGCAACTTCATAACCTGTATAAAAATGGCACTAAATGCCGATCACTCTAGTTTGATCGAAATTATTCACTTTGAGTGATTGGGCCTGCCTGACCGTATGGGTTTTCTCGGAGTATTCCGGTTTCCTTCCACATTAAGACACTCGCTGCGCGCTTACGAGTATATTAATAGTTATACAGGTCTTTGGCAGGGTACATGGTCTCATGTTCGCTGTCAGGACCTTATGTACCCTTCGCCGAATTATATATATAACGAATTTGTCATACTGCAAAGCAATGTTCAAGCGTTGTCGTCCTGTAAAGACTCCCATCCTGTTTCCTTCAGCTCAGGGTACATAAGGTCCTGACAGCGAACATGAGACCATGTACCCTGCCAAAGACCTGTATAACGAATTTGTCATACTGCAAAGCCATTTATAGTAATAATTTATCTAAAATTATGAATTCAAAAATAAATTTAGTATGAGTCAGACATCATTGGTAAACGCAGCAAGGTGATTTTTTTCAGAATTCTCGAAAATATGTTTTAACTTTCAAAAATTCAAACACAATTACGATTTCAATAAAGTTTTGGACCCAAAACTCTTTGTAGTGAAACTGGATTGGGTCGATAGTCGGCGACTAGGTAGCCCAATTGGTAGAGCGTCCCTCTATAGTTCGGAGGGTCCCTGGTTCGAATCTCAGTCTGGTCGTTGCATTTCTCTTTCTACCGTCACAACATTGGCGAGCTTATTGTTGCATGCGCTGGGTGAATGAAAAAAAACTAAGTTGGTGGGGACTATCCTTTGATTATATTTATCTGAAAAGTTTGAAAAAAATCCGAAATACGTAGATTTGTAAAGCATTATCTCTTTCATTATAAATCTATTTATTAACGCTATACACTAGCTATACTTAGAAACAAATATCATAAAAATAGTAGATATTCAATTTCTGTTTAATTCCTTTATGGAATATTTTTTTCTTTTTCTTTCTTTCAGGAGCATTTCCCAAAAATATCTTATAAAAACGGATATATAAATAATTTCTTTTTCCACAACACATTTAAATGTTCACTTAGTTTAAGTTTTCTCTATTCCGCTATGTTGATGTGTTATTTATCAAGTTCAAGTTCTTTATTCACCAAAAGTCTTAAGACTTATAGGTACAAACTAATCATGACACATTGTACATGTATATATGTTATAGGAGAGTGACTATAAGCATACAAGTGCAAACTAAACAAAGAACATAATATAAAAGCACAAAAATTATAAATACGTGTAGCTGATTAATCAATTTCGCCGCTTAGTGGCTAGATATAAATATTTACCTAGATTTGACAACTCTTTGACATTATTTACAGATAAAAGTTGGACAAGTTTGTAAACAGAGGGACTCTTATAATAATACTTCTTTATATACTTTAACCTCAAATCATTATAAAAAGGACATACAAAAATGAAATGGAATTCGTCCTCGACGTCTCCCAAATCACATTTGCTACAGTTTCTATTTCTGCGAATGATATTATTGTGTCTACCCTTTTCGATATTCAGTTGATGAGACGACGTTCTAAATTTAGTTAACATATATTTGTATTTTGTTTCAATATATACACGGAGATAAAACTGAATACTATGACTGTCTATAAGATATTGATATAGTCTACCTTTTGATGAAGCTGCTATCTTTGCCAACATATTTTGCTTAGTAACATCTTTCAGTCTGTGTTCAATAATTGCAAAAGTGTTTACCAATGGTAGATTCGATTCAAAAATATAACCAAGACCTAGGGCAGTTAATTCATTCTTAATGTTACAAATCCACGGATCATTCACGTTGACACATTCATCATAACAAGTTTTTAATATCAAATTATCAGATTTCGTCAACTTCAACCAATATTTGAATACTTTTAGCTTTCTTGTAACAATTAATGGTAGTCTACCCAATTCACAATAAACTAAATCATTGAATGTAGATTTACATACTCTAAGGACTTTTTTGCAGAAATTCAAATGAACTCTCTCTATATCAGGAGCTTTGTGAAACCCCCATATTTCTGCACCATAGCTTAAGATGCTGCTGACATAAATATCAAAGACAGAGCATTGGGTTTCCAAATTCAAACAATGGTTCTTTAAAGAGGATGATAATGAAAATAAAGCCTTTCTTCCTTGGTCCGCTAAATGCTTTTGGGTTTTATAAAATTTACCATTATAATTAAAAAACATTCCCAAATATTTGAAACAGTCAACAATTTCTATGTTCTCATTATTATATTTCCACACTTCATTATTTCTTATGTTTCCCCCGTTTCTAAAAACCATGACTTTTGTTTTATCAATGTTGACTTCCAGATCCCATTTTCTAGAGTAACTGTGTAAAGAATCTGACATGTTTTGCAATGCAGCTGGACTATCAGCGAAAAAAACCATATCATCAGCATACATTAGCAGGAAAAGGTTAAGCATCTGTTTATGTACACTGACTCTTAATGTGTTACTGATTTCTCCAATGTACTATTCTTAACATCCCATGCAGTGATATTAAGACATAATTTATATCCTTTGGGTCACAAGACCTGCTGGAGGTAATTATATTTAATAACGAACTTTTTTTTTGTCTACAGGGCAATGCGAACATAATACGTTTTAGTATATGTAATAAATATATTTCATATATATGGACGTAGGCCTTATACCACGAAAAATACTTGGGGAAAAAATGAGACAGTCACATGCAGCCGGTTATTTCGGATAGATGCGTAACTTGAAATATTACTATCTTATCAGAATACGGCTTCCATATATATTATATACAGTGTTTAGACCAACGCGGCGGGGAGAATTTCCGGGAAAATTAAAATAAGTGAATTTGATGTTTATCTTTTTTATTGGCTCTGACACGGACTAAGAATCTATTTCCGTGGCTCTGATAATGGATTGAAACAATACTAGGCGTATTGTGGGACAATAGATCAAATAATTTGATGATAGTAATTTTAGTAGCATAATTTTACAGGCCAAGTGAATCATTATCTTCAAGAATAGCGGCTATTTTTAATGTTTTCTTAAATTGGTTATGAGATAGAAACAGTTATAGATTTAAATACCATTCGGAAATAATTAAACATAAGCTGATCTTTCAATTTTTTTAAATTCTGACCAGAAAGTTACCTCAGACGTATTTAACGTATCGACATTGTATCGTATACCGGAAAGACGGTTCTACATAATCTCGAGCCTGTAGTGCTCTGTGTGGCCAACAGACCCACACACATTTGTGTTAAAGATGTTTTGTACGACGTCACATGATCACGAACAGTGGCTCACTGGACTACTTTTTTATTCAGTCTACGCGACATAATATAGTTCTAATATCAATTTGAAAGGAAAAATCTATTATGTGTTTAATATAAAATACAATTACACAAATAAAGGTATGAAAAAGTAGTACAATTAGCTGTGAGAAATACTAATGAAAATTTGCAAATTTCAAACGAACAAATGGAAAATTTGACCCGGTGCGGATTTATCGGAAGTAAACTGGCTTGTGCTATTATACTGCAGTGTACTTGCAAAACGAAGCGATTTCCAAACTTCAATGATAGCAAGTCAAGGATATCGTGCATTAAAAGTCGTTGAATGGCACGATCTGAAGTAATCACCGCATGACTTTGTGTCACAACCTTAACATACGCTCGTTCATTTAAAAATTAACCTGCTTTGAAATAATTTCATGGAGTGCCCGCATTTGGAAGAAACTGTACATGTAACAGCGCCATCTATAAAAAGCGAAAATTTACCACCAGATTATTTTTGCGCAGGTGAGTAAATATTGTTTGTGGCAGTGTGCCCTCATAATTAACCATTACATCTGGCAAGTTTGATACATGCATATTGTGATTCAAGGCTTTGATTGATCGGAAGACGAACAGTCGTCGGTGTCCATAGCCCCCTTGTCTGCTGCCATGTGCTTCTGGCTTCGAACGAGGAGTGATTGCTCCTCGACCGAAAATAATCCGCTGCTTCATTGTCAATAACTCAACGTTTCCCCTTAGTTGTGTGAAATGGACTTAACAACGAAGGACCTTACATAAATTCAAATCTGCGAGAAAGTGACATGTTTGGTAGACCGTTAGTTTGTTTACACAAGGGTGATAATTATTGTCATTTCAACATGACAGCTCGGACGTGTGTAATACACAAAGGGGACGTCTCGGAAGGTAATTCTATCACGAAAGGGAGATAAGCCTCGACAGTTTTTGATACAAAATACACATACCTAGATTTGTTTTGTTTTTGTTGTCATACATTTTAAAAAAAGTGACATTTTCCCCCTTTTTTTTTTAAACAGATATGAAAATGTAGTTGTGTGTAAAGTACGAATTGTATGGTATTCAGAATTTCATTTTTTTTTTTTACTTTTTTTATGAATAGTAACATTTACCCCAGTTTCCTCTGGCCCTGACACCAAACTTAGACATTTTGATAGATATCTCATTCTGGTATCGACTATTAGTGCATTTGCACTGCAGAATCTATCTATCATATTTGCTGCAGAAAAAAATCTATTTTTGTACAAACTTCAAAGAAAAATCCATTGCAACATAATTCTTTAAACTGTGACCTCACTGCCGCATACAGATTAAAGCCAATGTGATGTTCTGCACAGTAGGTTATGAGATCAGTGTGTAGAAAAGCAGAAAATTAAGAAATTATGGATAAGTGCTGCCAGTGTTGTGCTTATAATGTGATGTTCAATTTTTAACTGGATTTATTGTATTGATCATGAACAAATGGGCTGTCATAGGGTCACATAAAGACAACAGATTTTATTAATATTGCCACAAATAACAGCATTTGGAAAATGATTAAATCAGTCACCCCTGAAACTTCATAATGAACTATCTGCGAACATTTGACTTGGAAGAGTTCAAATGTATTTTCATGGGTGAATGAGTTTATGGACACAATTAATACAATTCATATTTCTATTCAAACTTTGCCCCAAATTAAGATGTCATCATTTATGTATTTAAATGGAAACATTGTTCTTCAAACATACATTTTTTGTTGTGTTTTTTTTCTCGAGGAAGATCTCCAGACTGCCTTCCTGCAGACTAGCTGTCAGTAGCATTAGTCTGGCTAGGAACAATCTTGTTAGGGCAAGTACCAAAGTATAAAATCTAGACAATCTATATTTTGTATCACATTATGAAAAAATGTTGTTGACATATATGTCAAGCCTTGTATCCATGGTGGATATATTGCACTGTATTATGTCTATTTATACTGTACATCAAGTACTGATCATGATGGAATGTATAATTAATGGTACCAGGGTATTATTATGACTTCATGTAGAACTTATTTCATTGCATGAACATGCAAGCTGTAATTGTAAACCAATTGCAGTTGTTTTATTTTGAAAGACATGCTCCTATTATTATGCTTTTAAGTTTTTGAAACTAAGTAGATGATTCAGTAGAAAATATCTTGTGTGCCCATGTCATCACTAAAACAAAAGCAGGTCAATGTAAGGATATTGTTAATACAGACCTGTGTACAGCATAAAGCAATCTAAGCATGTACTGACTCATCTTCTTCACATATACCTCTATCTGGAGTCACTGTAGCTATGTAAGGATATGAACAGATTATTTTCTGAAGATCTTTTAGCATCATAATAAACATGTAAATAATATGTTGAGCGACAGTCATTGAGTATATATATATAACTTAAGGGGGTCGGGGGATAGGTAATTTTATATTGTATATAATTAACAGAAATCAAAAATTTAGGGGGAGGGGGGCATATATATATTTATACAAGCGATCTCTCTGGGGTTGGAGGTGTAATTGTTTCCCCGTCCCCCGAAATTTTAAATTTCTGTTTATATAAAATAACCTATTCCCTCGCCCCATTTTATCCAGTCATGACAATAGATTCATGATTCACTCCTCTTTGGGCCTGGTAACAGTTGTATTTAAACTCATAGTCACGGTGGCATTTCATTATTTAATTGTGAAAATGGTCTTGAAATGAACCCCTTGAAATACTTTTGAATAAAAAAAGAAGAGGGGAAAAAACGAGAGGAACTTTTACCCAGAAGGGTTCGTTGACCAACATAATTACAGTGTATGTGTAGTGACCGTGTGACAGCATTATGAATATTCATCACCGAGCCAGACAGTAACCTAAATCCAAAGTGTTGCAATGAAATGTTCAGTGAAGCAATTATAGACCAAGCATTAAATTGTATTGCCAACTATAGAGGAGCATGTAGTCGCCAAAGAGAGACTGTCTGAGAGAGGCTTTCTCTGTAAGGCCTCTCCTCGTGATTAGGCAGACTTTCTGTGCTGACTGTGTAATTGTATGACTTTGCAAGCCTACGCTACAGCTGCATTCTGTATGATCAAGACCCAAAGAACAAAATCGTTGGGGGATGTATCACAAGGCAAAACTAAGTATGCATTAAGTTATTCATGTGGCATGATGGAGAGGAGCGATACATCTTTGTATTGATCACAAGTTTGAGATGCCTAGTTTGGCCTAAAGGTTGTGAGCTATTTCAGATTGATGCTATTTAGATTCAGCTGATGTTCCACAGCAATAGAATTCTATTTATATATTTTGCTGTCATATCATTTCTTATAAAGTATTTTTTCCATTTTCCCCCCATTATTTAGCCTAACAATTAGTAACATTTTTAGCTCACCAGGTCCGAATTAAGGACCAATTTACGTGAGCTTATGCGATACCGTGGCATCCATCGTTCGTCCGTCAACAATTTCTCAACGACTTCTTCTTCTTAACCACTGATTGGAATTTAACTAAATTTGACTGGAAGCATCCCTATGTGGTGGAGATTCAAAATTGTACAAATGGTAGAGCTGACCCCCTAGGGGGCTGAGGGGCAGGGCCAAACGGGGGCAATTTGGCTATATTGCTACAAACGACTTCTTCTGTAGAACTATGAACTAGATATCAATCATATTTAATCAAAAGCATTCATGGGAGGCAGGGATTCAAAATTGTATAAATGGTGTGGCTGACCCCCAAGGGGACGGGGCCAATAAGTAGGTATGCCACATGATTTTTTATACACATGAATACAAGTTGTTTTTCTGTATGACATAAGACAATATTCTGTAAGACAATATTAAACTCAGCAGTACACTTTTTAAATGGTCAAGATATCTGAACTAGAACTAAAGTTATGACTGGACAAAGTTTCTGAATTATGATACTTTGTCGGACATCTTGGATGTATTAAATGGCCAAACAGTATATCCGATACCAAGATGGCAGCATGTGGCATATACCTACAAAAAGGGTTCTTTGGCTATATTACTTTAAGCAATATCTTACTTGACAAGGACAGGCAGACTGGCTGTATATATATGATTTCTTTTAAACAACTTTTTCTTAACCACTAATTCAAATTTAACTGAATTTGACTGGAAGCATCCCTAGGTGGTGGGGATTCAAAATTGTACAAATGGTGGGGCTGACCCCCCAGGGGGCTGAGGGGAGGGGCAAAAAGGGGGCAATTTGGCTATATTTCTTTAAGTGACTTCTTCTCTAAAACTCAGAGATGTATATCAACCAAATTTGACTGGAAGCATCCCTATGTGGTGGAGATTCAAAATTGTACAAATGGTTGGGCTGACCTCCCAGGGGGCTGAGGGGCGGGGCCAAAAGGGTGCAATTTGGCGATATAGCTATAAAGGACTTCTTCTGTAGAACTATGCCATGGATATCGATCATATTTGGTCGGAAGCATTCATGGGAGGCAGGGATTCAAAATTGTGGGACTGACCCCCCGGGCTAAGGGGTGGGGCCAAAAAAAGTTTATTACTTGGAAATGGTTGAGATCCCCACCATATAACCAGGTATACAATTGCTGAGTATAAAGAGAAGAATGCACATTTGCTTCCAGGATGGCGCTAGGGTCTGGGCCCACCCTTGGAGACATAGTCCCTGGGTCATAACTTTAAAACAGTTGAGATCCCCACCCCAAAACTGTATATACAAATGCTGGGCATAAAGAGACGAATGCAGTCATGATATTAGAATAGACTTTGGGGTCTGACCGAACCCGTAGGGACCTACTTTCTTAGTCACAGCTTGGAAACAGTTGAGATACCCACCCTTTAACCATATATACAATTGCCGAGTATACAGAGATGAATGCACATATGTTTCCAGGATGGCCTTAGGGTCTGCCCCACCCTTGGAGACTTAACCCCACGGTCATAAGTTTGAAATGGTTGAGATCCCCACCCCAAAACAAGTTATTCAAATACTGGGTAAAAAGAGACAAATGCAGTCATGATATTATAATTGATCCTGGGGTCTGGCCACAACCCTAGAGACCTATTTTCTGAGTCACAGCTTGGAAACAGTTGAGATCCCTACCCCATAACCATACATAAAATTGCTTGGCATAAAAAATCTAATACAGATATGCTAAAAGGATCACAGATTTGCCTTGGGGTCTGACATATTCCCTTGGATCTCATTTGGAGAAAAAAAATCCCCGATTGCTTAAGATATCCAGGTGAGCAATACAGGCCCTCTGGGCCTCTTGTTTTATTAACATTTGCATTCTACTTGAACATTGGCTTCTATTAAGCTACATATGCATATTATAGCAGTATGGTACCATTGATAAATCTGATGCCTTTCCACCAGATCTTGACCTACGTACGACATCAGTGACTGATCATGCTAATTTGTAGTCGGGGGATCCCGGACAAGTAGGAGTTCCTTTTCTTCTTTTAGTTGTTTACTTAACATTAACCCATATTAAATCAACAGTATGTATTTTGCTGTTTAATGTAATTGTTAGACATTTTTGTCAACATTCCATAAAATGATCTGATGATCAAATGTTTTAATCGATGAGGGGCAGGGCCATATTGGAGTCGCAAAGTTGTAAACATTCATCTGAAAGAATAGAACTGTTATTTTATTAACATGTATCAAATATTTAATTTTAGATGTTGCATATATTATCAGCACTCTTTCAGATAGGCTCAGAACTCGAGGCTGGGAAATTGATTATAATTAGAGCAAAGCTTTAGATTTCGACATTTCCGCTAAATGGTAGCTTTAATTTGAACATCAGACTAAAATTGGATCACTTAAAGCAGCTGAACTCATTAGTTACATTGCAGATTTACTTTGCATTGATATGTCATAAACAGCTCGATTTTATTCCGTCTTTTCGTATTGCAGAGTTATCTGCTCTTGTGAGCAGGTATTGATTGTTACGTCATTTGTTTGTGAGAGTAACGTCATCAATTTTTGAGAAAACTACGTAATTTTCTGACACAACCAATGACGTAATAATCAATACCTGCTCACAAGAGAAGATAACTCTGCAATATGCAAAGACGGAATAATTATAAATGAATTCTATAGTACTAGCTGTCAGTCTATCATCTGTCCAATAAACAATGAAATCCACTTTCCTGGATGAGTGGGGGAATTGTCTTTCTCAACTCCTGTTGTCAAGTTTTCTACTTTTGGTTTCTTTGGTGTCTGACTTTTGTGTGTTAGTTGATCAGGGTTTTACATTCTCAAAACCTAAATGTATTGCTTCCTAGGAATAATGTGTAAACAGTTGAGTGGAAGCTTGCTTTTGAAACCTTCTCTAGTTGTTCCTTCTTTCACTTTGTATAAATATTGTATACATGTTTTTTTCATCTCGTGGAACTATGTTATGTTGATGAAAAGTAAAAAATATAATATTGTGTCTTTTGACTGTAGCATGCAAGACGGACAAGAGTCCATGGATTTGTGCTCGATGTGGGAAAATCCATTGTGGAAGGTATTGCATTGATAAATATTCCATTTATAAACGAAAATTTAATTTTGATATATTATAATACTATCGATCCTTGCCTATATTTTCAAAGTAAAATTTGGATATCTACTAGCATCGGGCAATCACACTAGTGGAATTTATACTTTACTTTCCTGTTAGTTATTAAATAATAATGTACAAAATGTACTACTTTTCATTGCTGTTACGTATATATTACACTGACTCATTAATATATGCACAATCTCATAGTAATCAGATTTGGTAGTTTATACTTCCTTTTGAAGTTTGAAAAAAAATAGGATCTGACTTTTATTGACTTTTTTCAGATATGTGAATGGACATGCCAAAGAGCATCATGAGGCGACCACTCAGCATGCTGTGTGCATGGACTGTGATAACCATGCAGTTTACTGGTGAGGGCGGTCATGACAATATGATCATCTTGTATGATATGGAGTGTTCGACTCAAATCGTATTTAGGCCAAGTAAAGGTACTCATGATATATCACAAATGTGATTTTACAAATAAAACAGGGATATAAACAGATGTTTAGTCCTTAACCCTGTCGTCATCGCTGTACAGTGTACACCACAGTTGACTCATCTATATAAATGTAGTGTAGAGTCTTCTAACGTTAACTAGGGTTGAAAGGGTTAACAGTACTTGGACTGGTACATTAATATTTAGGTTTAATTGGAATGCCACTTTAAAGGTGTTCTTTATTCAGTCTAGCTATATAGGTTAATGTTTGGTAAGACATGTACATATTACTGTTACTTTAGAACTGAGTCTGTCCATCAGACTGTATACACTACATGCTGCTGAAGCTGAAGTGTCTTAATTTTTGCGAAATTCAAAGACTTCAGTTTCATAACATCTATTTAACTTGTTTATTTATGATTTATAGTGTGACGAAAAAACCCACTACATTAACAAATGTGTGTGTTTTCAACCTGTATATAGTGATATGTATCATAAATTATTCCTTCTGTATTACAATAAATATACTATTCTGATACACTCCAGGCATATTGTAAATTAAAATTAAAAAACCTAGTGGCATACATAAATTTAGAAATACACTGTGTAGCTTGGGAAAGTTCCTTGTATACATATCATTGAGATTTTTCAATCTTGTATATTAGATACTGCATTAAATGTTATCTAAAAGGCGTTAAAATCTATTTTATATCAGTAATACATATTATTTGAATTTCTATGGAGTAAGAAAACAAACCTTACCCATCACGAGCAAAAATCATATTACTTCATTTATTTCCTGTTTTCAGCTATATCTGTGATGAATTTGTGATTAATGATACAAAATATGGCCACTTGGACAAACTCAGGAAAAGCTTACAGTCATTAGCCAGGTGAGATTTTAGCAAGATTACAATTATACAACAGTTGTAACAAATTAACAATGGAGGTAAAAATTACCAATAAAACAGAAAATTGTGTTTAACCACAAGTAGGGGATGGGTAAGATATATTGTCACTATTTTAAACAGAAAACATTTATTTAACACAGTTTCACAGTTTCGTTGAAAAGAAATACATTTGTATACCTGTATAAAATATATAGACAAGAATCTTTTTGATGCTTGGATTTGTTTTATAAACCAGCAAAGTGAAAAACTGAGAACTGTTCTTAAGAAACATGTTTTAAGTGAAAGGTCAGCACTGAATTCCTGCAGTAATATGCATGTAGGTAAAAATATTAAATTTTGATTATGAAAATTCCATGAGGTCAAGGGTCATTATATATATATCTACTTGTCCAGAAGATACCTGGAACGGAATGCTGTAAAATAGTATTCAAAATTCGCCTCACCCGAAACAAGTTTCTTTTAGACCCAATATTTTTCCGTATTAGGTCACTAACAAACTGTGTAACAAATTTATCCCGTCGAAGGCCCTTTGTATAAAAAAACCTGTTTGTTAACATTTTTGTTAACATTTCATCGGCTGTCATCTTCACAAACCGCTTGGTCGCCATCTTGTTACAAGTTGACTCTTATGGGCAAAGAACGATAACTCTTTCGTACTCACCTAATGTGAGATTCTACTGACCTAATATGAAAATATACTGGATATCATGTGACGTCGTTTTAACCAATAGGACTACAGGATTTTTGCCTGAGGCGGGATAAATATATATATATGGTGTTATGAAGAAACTAGCCTGACATTGTTAAATAGTCAGCATGTGAAAGCTTCTGCAAATAGTACAAGACTTAGAATACTTAGCTTACACATTGGTAACATTCAAGGCGAGTGTTGCAGCTTCTCTGGGTCTCGTGCTTCTACATCAAATTATGAAAGTATTTAAAGTTGTATGATCTTTGTAAAACAATAATAGGTATGGTAATGTTGTTCATTCCAGAAAGATTGATTGTGACATTGTGAATTCCTGGTAAAATATTAAAGTATACATTTAGTGAAAACATTCCAAATGACATGATATTAAATGGCGTCATTTTCATCACTTTTAAGTGCCAGAAATCATATACGACAGAAAGTACGTCGACGAGCTTCCACAGACTCACAGGAGAATGACAGACATCGAAAAAAAGTTAAAAAGGTACTTTTGCTTAAACTCATTTATTTTATTTGGTCATTCATTTTCTATAATGATTTGAATTGCAATTTTTGTTTGTCAGATAAACTTCGAAATAAAAAAGGTAACTGATTTGCATGCTCAGATATATAGATTCACCAATTAATGATTCTGTGGTAATATCTTTATTTCATTATTTTCTATTGCAATAAAATCTCAACAATTATTTTTTTATCTAACAATTTTTCATTCCTTATTTGTAGGACGACAGACCAAGGTCTTCTGGACTTAGAAATTTAGGAAACACATGTTTCATGAATGCAGTATTGCAGTCCCTCAGGTATTACATCTAATTTATAAAGGATTAGGCCTCGATTGTAATAAATCTTTCAGAATGACTCCCTTGAAAAATCGGTTAAAGCTCATTTTATTCTGTGATGTCCCTCTGTCTGTTCTAAGGTGTTTCAGAGTGAAAAGCAAACTGATGATGACTACACTGCCAAAAATCCTTACTCATCTGACTTGTCAATGATACATAAACATTACAACTGAAGTTTGCTCTGTAGTTTGTATAGTATAGTTCTATATGCACTGCAACTGTTCACTGTTGACTAAGACGAAAAATTGATTGATATATTACTTTTCTAGCATTGTTTTTTTCCTGGTTCTGAATATATATTTATCACATAATGTACCGTGTTATCCAGTGAATATACCCATGTCATATTTTTTGCGTATTTACCCATTTGATATGGCCTATCAGCCTTGTGATTGGTTGTAAGTTTCAATTGTTTCAATTGTTATGTCGCGCCTAGGACAAGTACATGACGTCACAGACTTACGCACTGGAGTCAAAATGGCAGCTGTTTATATTTCAAGGTTTCATGAAAATTGTCATTTTACCAAATAAATGCAACAGTCTTGATTATGTGATAAAAAGGATCTTCCAGTCGTTTTCATTTCAAATGAAATTTATGACTCGTTTCATAAATCTCATATGAAATGGAAACTCATGTAAGATCATATATATATTAAAGTAATATTAATCTTGTAATAAAATTTAATGTTATGTGATACATTGTTTTATCAAGATATCTTCATCATCCTTTAATATAAAATTAAAATTGGAATCTTAATTTTAAACAAAAATTGTGTCCTCCTGACAGTAACATCCAGCAGTTCTGTGGTTACATCAAACAGTTGCCATCACTGGAGGAAAAGATCAGCAAGTCACGGAAATACCACCATACACGGAAAACACGCAATGAAGAGGACGATGTGTGAGCATTACCAACCATTTAGGTCATCAATTCAGAAGGGTTGGGACTACCTATGGCTGTTGTTCTATGCCCATTGTCGTCTGCCATCTGTATGCTTCGGACATTTCAAACTCCTTCTCAAATTTCATAAGTAGAATTTATTGAAAATTGCCAAAAATCATCCTGAGATGATGAGGACCATTCAGATTGTTCTAAAATGTAAGAAGGTTGACATGGTGTCAATCTTTAAAAAAACGTTAAATCTTCTGCCTGTGCTATTAATAGCTGAATCTCAGTAGACATAACCAGTTATTATAGTGTCAAATGGGCCTCTTGAAACCTGTCTTAACTGAACACATTACAGAAACTCAACAGGTAACACAGCCTGAACCTATATAGCTATGGAGAAACCAAGTGAACAGTTTAAGAAAGGGCCATATGTAATTATAAAACCTGACATAAAATAACTTTCACATTTATTATATATACATATAAAGGAAAAATATACATTGAGATTTCACTGTTGATTTTTATTATTCAGCTATTATTTAACTTTAAAAAAACCCAGTAAATCTTTAAAATACATCAATTGTTTTAATGTTTCTGAAATTCATTTCAATAAATTAAATTTGCAATGCATGTAATCATTGTTTATTATGATGAATAGAGGTATAAATGTTTTTTCTCTTCTGTTTGACAGACTTCTCATAGAAGAATTACGGAAGACACTTGTAGCATTATGGCAGGGGACCAAAGGAGCGATTTCTCCCGAATCTCTATTCTGTGTCATCTGGAAAGTCGTGCCAAGATTTAGGTAAACATTTACAGCATCTAACTTATTACTGCCGGTTAAAGGAAATATTTCAATCGTTATAATTAAAAAATTGTGATTATCCATAGAAAATTGTTTTATAAGATAGAGAATCTATGCAAGTGAAGTAAAGGAGGACCTTTTGTGTTTAATCAGTGTTGATAAAGGGAGATAATGATAGCACAAAAACTGAGAATTTCCAATAACGCAAAATGTTTAATTTAACAGGTCCTCGAAACCTTATTTCCCTATCTTTTAGACCAATCCAGTTCCTGGTTTTTGTGAACGTTTAAGATCTTTTAAACAGAAGGGAAACTGAATACCTATATTGAGTCATGAGGCAGATTGAATGATAAATCAGAATCAAAATAATAGCATTTGTGCACTACATATTTTTAGGTCACCTATTGTGATCGCCTTTTGTCCGTCGTGCGTCCGTAAACACTTTACATTTTCGACTTCTTCTTTGAAACCCCTGAACCAATTTCAATGAAATTTTGCAGGGACCTTCCATGGACAAAGGTCAACAAAAATAGAGGCCGGTTTAGTCCCAAGCCCCCAGGGGCCTGAGGGGCGGGCGGGGCCAAAAAGGGTCAAATTGACTAAAATTTCAAAAATCTTCTTCTCCAAAACCCCTGAACCAATTTCAATGAAATTTTGCAGGGACCTTCCATGGACA